CAAATCCCTAAATTTCCCAAATCCCTAAATTCCCCAAATCCCCAAATCCCCAAATCCCTAAATTCCTCAAATCCCCAAATCCCTAAATTTCCCAAATCCCTAAATTCCTCAAATACCTAAATTCCCCAAATCCCCAAACTTTCCACAATCCTAAATTTCCCAAATCCCAAATTTACTAAAAAATCCAGCAAATAAAAACAATTGCCAATAAAAGTTTAAATCTCACAAAACAAAAAAGCGTCGAAAGCACCAGCTTGAAGTGTGCTAAAAGAAATAATTCAATTTTACGGATAAAGGATCCCTTTTACCTGAGATAACTCGGAACTATTGCTTCTGCTACTTGTTAGAGTCGGAATTGATTGATGAAGTGAAGTACCGTTGAAACGTGAGTGTAAGATACGAAATAGCAAGTTGAAACGTGAATCTGTTTCTCTTATCCTCTTTTCCTACTTTCTTTTTTTCCATTTGAAAACTGAGCGAACAGCTTGACAGTAATTGGAAAACAGAAGCGATTGCGAACAATTTAAACGATATCGCTGCAAGGTGAATCGATTGGTGAAATAAAGGAACTGTTCGAAACGTGTCTCCCTTTTTATTATTAAAAATACGAAAAAGAATTGACAGAGATTAAATGAATATTTAGAATAACTGATAAATTCTGGTGAAATTATTCGAAGGACCTTGAATTATAATTACGGACAATTTGTAAGCGATTAATTAGCGTCGATAAATTGTGGTGAGAAAATTATTAAAAGACTTTCATGACGTGTTAAAAGTTTGGTTAATAGATTATAACTTGAAGGTAAAACTCATCTTCTCCGTGATAAAACTGTGAGAGGATAATAATTAATAATTATGAGAGAAATTATGAAGTACGAAGGTTCTTGATGCGTTAGTGGAAGTACGATTCATTGATTAAATACTTCATTAAGTGGTGGCTGAATTCTTTTGAAATACGATAACAAAGATTTGCTTCTAAAAACAGATTGGTGGAAATGTAAAAATAAGTTTATGGGGTATCTTTCGGATTCGTTGTTTACTCTGAACTTTGTTTTTGCGGATCTTACGTTTATTAATAAGTTGAATGTGATGTAGGTTATGGAAGTTATTTCTTGGAAATAATAGTGGGGGTTATAGTAACAATTTTTTGGTAATAGTAATGTAGTGTAGTAGTAATTTCTTGGGAATGGGAATAGAGGTTATGGTAGGAATTTTCGATTGATAATGATTTAGGTTATTAATAGTAATTTTCTGTTAATATTAGTATAGGTTATTACAGTAATTTTCATTCAGTAATAATATAGGTTATAACAGTAATTTTTGCTAATAGTAGCATAGGTTGTAATAGTAAACTTCTCTTAATAATGACATAGGTTATAATATTAATTTTCACTCAATAATATTAGAGGTTATAATAGTAATTTTTTGCTAATAGCAGCATAGGTTGTAATAGTAATTTTCACTCAATAATATTAGAGGTTATAATAGTAACTTCTTACTAATAGCAGCATAGGTTATAATAGTAATCCTCTCTTAATAATAACATAGGTTATAATAGTAATTTTCACTCAATAATATTAGAGGTTATAATAATAATTTCTTGCTAATAGCAGCATGTGTTGTAATAATAATTTCCTCCTAATAATAACATACCCTATAACAGCAATTTTCATTGAAAAATACAATAAATTACAATAACAAATTCTTCCTAATAACATCAAAATATATCATATTAATAATTTCCACCTAACAATAAAATTCTCTATTAATTTTCCTTTAACAACACCATAAATTAAACTTACTAACTTTCCCTCCATAATAACAAATTTTACAAAAGTAACTTTCAATTAACAGTAAAATAAAATACAATTATACCCTTTTAAAACAACAATAACATAATTTGTAATAACAACCATCGTAACAATAACAGTAATATCAATCTTCATTTAATAACCCAGTAACATCCCAACGAATTTAACAGCCGTATTAATAATAGTCAATCTTCATTCTTTTAAAGCGTCACCCATAACCCCTATGACATAATCAACCCCCCATGAATAATTTGATAAATGACCAAACTAATCGCACATTAATTTCACACACAAGAAATACGATAAACGTGTTGAATTCGGGTCAATAAGCTCTTCTTTCTTTAACTTTCATTCGGTGTGATAAATATGAAAATTGCGTGACGATCGAATAATAATAATTTTGATAAAGTAATCGAAATGAAAGTATGACGGAAATTATCAAGTTTTGTGGTAATTGTAATTATATTAGTTTTGTATCAAATATTAACTCAGTCACATGTTTAATTAGTTTCAGTTAATTATTTCTGACATAACAAACAATGTGGAGAAACAACAATTTGAAATAATTATTATAAATTGACGTATTCAGAGTAATTTAATTGGTCATCATAATTTTATTGCTAAAATAAATTGTGACTAATAATTTTGTTGCAAAAATGAATTGTGACTAATAATTTTATTGCAAAAATTAATTGTGACTAATAAATTTATTGCAAAAATGAATTGTGATTAATAATTATATTGCTAAAATAAATTGTGACTAATAATTTTATTGTAAAAATTAATTATGACTAATAATTTTATTGCAAAAATAAATTGTGACTAATAATTTTATCGCAAAAATAAATTGTGAGTAATAATTTTATTGCTAAAATAAATTGTAATTAATTATTGCAAAAATAAAATTTGCACTGTGCTTATTATGTGAACAGCAGGGTGTTCGCTATATTGCATCATACATAGATTTCACATGAAAATCTTATCAAAAGATATGAATTAATCAACGTAACCTTCAATAGGAACTTAATTATCGCAAACGTGAAAATTGTTGATTATAAAAGAGTGATATAGTTGTGTGAACTGTTGCTATAGATATCACAATAACAAGACTTGTACAAAGAAGAATTAACTATTATTAACAACAGTCAGAACACAGAAAATTAATTGAATTATTAATCACAATAATTTATCGTAACAATCAATTATGAAAAAATAAAAAAATTTGTTTTACTAATTAATCATATAAAAATAAAAAATTTCTGTAATAATTAGTCACAAAGAACATAACAAATTTCCTGTAACAATCAACCATGAAAAAAAACAAAAAGACTTCTTGTACCAATTAATCATATAAAAATAAAAAATTTTCTATAATAATTAGTCAAAAAGAACATAACAAATTTCCTGTAGCAATCAATCACGAAAAAACAAAGACTTCTTGCACCAATTAATCACATAAAAATAAAAAATCTGTAACAATCAGTCTCAAAGAACATAAATTTTCTGTAACAATCAGTCACGAAAAAATAAAAAGACTTGTACCAATTAATAACATAAAAAAAAAACAAATTTTCTCCAATAATTACTCACAAAGAAAATAAAAAATTGTCTCTAACAATCAACCACCTAAAAATTAAATATTTTCCGTAACAATCAATCATAAAAAAATAAAAAGACTTGTACCAATTAATCATATAAAAAAAAAAACAAATTTTCTCCAATAATTACAAAGAAAATAAAAAATTGTCTCTAACAATCAACCACCTAAAAATAAAATATTTTCCTTAACAATCAATCATATAAAAATGAAAAATTTCCTGTAACAATTAATCAACATCATCACCTAACTGATCAACATTATGACACCGACAATAAATACTTAATTAAATAAAAAGAAAGATAAATAAGAGAGCGAAATCAAACGACCCAGGTGAACACGATCAACCGGAAGTATGAAAAAAATGTGTTGGTCATCCCATTTCGACACGTGGATTAGACAGTGTACGTTTCACAGGAACCATAATAAACCTGTCCTTCCACATTGGCGATTTTCTATTAATATGCCTGAACGAACGACATTCTCCATTGGTCGTCTGGTCGTCCCTGAGGAAACAGGCGTCTATATGCCGGTCGAACGATCTATTTTCAAAATCACCAATCGATTTCGAGGCTCTCGATCCACCGAAGCATAACCAGATACCGTTTCGACCTGTTTTTCGACTATTCCGATAATTTACGGTACGGCTATGCAACATTCTCGTGCGAGAATGGATTCTGTACAATGATAATCGGAATCGTAGAGAATCATCGTGTGGAGCATTTCGTATTTAAGGTTATTTTAAATTTTCAGATATTTAGGATTATTAGAAATTAGTAGTGTAACAAAAATATTCAAATTTTCTACTTTTTCAAAAATCTAATGTTATTGGTTAATGTAAATAATAGTTATTTCTGACTAATGTCTACATTTCTGAAATGTAAACATTACATTTGGAAATTCAAGAATTTCCCAAATTCCTAAATTTCTAAATACCTAAAATCTCATGTCTTTTAGTATTGGAATTACTAAATCCTCAGATAGAGGATTTTGAGATTTCAAATCCTGAAATCCCCAGTTTTCAAATTAGCAAATTAGCAAATACCCGAATCCTCAAATCCACAAATCCCTAAATTCCCAAATTCCTTAGTTTTCAAGTCTTCAAAATTCTGCAATTCCCTATTTTACAAGTAGAATTTCTAAATTACCAAATCCTCAAATCCCCAAAACCCAAAATTGCCAAATCCTCAAACCCCCAAATCTACAAATCACCAAATCCACAAATCCCCAAATCCTCAAAGCCCCAAATCCACAAATCATCAAATCCACAAATCACCAAACCCACAAATCACCAAACCCACAAATCACCAAATCCTCAAATCCCCAACTCTCCAAATCCCCAAATCCCCAAATCCCTAAGTCCACAAACCCTAAATCCCCAAATTTTTCAGTTTCCAAGTCTCCAAAACTCCCCAAATCCCCAAATCCTCAAACCCCAAAAATCTCCAAATCACCATCACTCAAATCCCCAAATCCCCAAATCCCCAAATCTCCAAATCCCCAAATCACCAAATCCACAAATCACCAAATCCACAAATCACCAAATCCACAAATCACCAAATCCACAAATCACCAAATCCACAAATCACCAAATCCACAAATCACCAAATCCACAAATCACCAAATCCACAAATCACCAAATCCACAAATCACCAAATCCACAAATCACCAAATCCACAAATCACCAAATCCACAAATCACCAAATCCACAAATCACCAAATCCACAAATCACCAAATCCACAAATCACCAAATCCACAAATCACCAAATCCACAAATCACCAAATCCACAAATCACCAAATCCACAAATCACCAAATCCACAAATCACCAAATCCACAAATCACCAAATCCACAAATCACCAAATCCACAAATCACCAAATCCACAAATCACCAAATCCACAAATCACCAAATCCACAAATCACCAAATCCACAAATCCCCAAATCCTTAAACCCCCAAATCCACAAATCAGCAAATCCACAATTCCCCAAATCCTCAAATCCCCAAATCCTCAAACCCCCAAATCCTCAAATCCTCAAATTCCCAAATCCCCAAATCCTCAAATCCCCAAATCCACAAATCCCCACATTCCTCAGTTTCCAAGTCCCCAAAATCCTAAACTTCTCCACTCTACAATTAAAATTCCCAAAATCCTAAAATTCCCAACAGAAATTTGCCAAATACCTAAATTCCAAAATTCTGAATTATGCTCCACAGTAAACAAAAATTACCTGCGCCGACCCTAACGATAATCGAGATCGCCCGATGATCGTCCAGATCGAAAGCAAACAGTCGGACGTCGAAGGGTAATTCGAATCGATCCATGAGTTAGTTAGAGCGGAGTGAAATTGGACGAAATTGAGTTGATCGTCGTCGAGGGACACGAGGAAGTCAAGCGTTCGAAGATGGCCGACTTGAATTTCGAGTGAAACTGGAAACGATGTTAATAGAAACAAATACATAGATCAACGGTGAATTAATTGTTGACGACACGAGCCTCGGAATTTATTAGATCTCAAGAATCTTCAAAGAAACAATGTCAGAAAAATGATTTCTAAAGAATAGTGAGAACAGGTAGTTTAACTCGTTTCTGGATAAGGAAGAAGCAACTATTAAATCGTTCGTGAAGATGGATCAAGGTGGAAAGGAGGATTTAGTCATTACAGGTAATGTTATTGATAATTTTAATTATTTTTTGGGAAAAATTGGGTGTTAGTTATTTATAGGAGACAATGGAGGTTTCTTTTGAATCGGTACTTTATGAGTAATTTAGGAGGAGTTCTACCATTTTGTTTTGCAGATGTGTAACACAATAATTTATAGACAGCAATTTGAGAACACAGAAGGACGTCAACACTTATGTTCCTCTATCAAAAATAACAAATTCTCTCCTGCGGTAATATAGCCGTCCCAAATCCCTATATTCCAACTACATGTGTCCTAATTCCCTATGTACCAAATCCCCACATGCCAACTCCATATGTTCCAACTCCCTATATCCCAAATCCCCACATCCCAACTCCACATATCTCAACTCCACATGTTCCAATTCCACATGTCCCAACTCCACATGTCCCAACTCCACACATCCCAACTCCACATGTTCCAACTCCACATGTTCCAACTCCATGAGTCCCAACTTCACACGTTCCAACTCCTTATGTCCCAAATCCCCACATCCCAACTCCATATGTCCTAACTCCATGCGTCCCAACTCCATATGTCCCGACTCCACACATCCCAACTCCACATGTCCCAACTCCACATGTTCCAACTTCACATGTCCCAATCCACATGTTCCAACTCCACATGTCCCAACTTCACATGTCCCAACTCCACATCTCCCAACTTCACATGTCCCAACTCCACATCTCCCAAATTCCCACATCCCAACTCCACACATCCCAACTCCACATGTCCCAACTCCACATGTCCCAACTCCACATCTCCCAACTCCACATGTCCCAACTCCACATCTCCCAACTCCACACGTCCCAACTCCACATGTCCCAACTCCACATGTCCCAAATTCCCACATCCCAACTCCATATGTCCTAACTCCATGTGTCCCAACTTCATATCTCCCAACTCCACTTGTCCCAACTCCACATGTCCCAAATTCCCACATCCCAACTCCACATCTTCCAACTCCACATGTCCCAAATTCCCACATCCCAAATCCATATGTCCCACCCCCACATGTTCCAACCCCCTATGTCCCAAATCTCTACCTCCCAACTTCCTATCTCCGAACTCCAAAAATCCCAAAACTATAACCAACAAGCTTACACTCAAACTTGAATAATTACCATAAACACAATACCAACTATCATCAAATGCAATACCAAATGCCCTCAAACAATGTACCCCACACCAGTACGCAACATAGAGCATCGAATGTATGTCCGACAGCAGCAGCCGACATGTTCGAGAATTACACGAGTCCAATAGTAGCGTTTCTGCAACGCGAAGATTCACCAAACAGACGGGATCCGTTGTACATCGTGTTGCCGATCACGGTGATCTACGCGGTGATCTTCTTCACCGGACTGGTCGGCAACGTGTCCACGTGCGTGGTGATCGCGCGTAACAAGTCGATGCACACCGCCACCAACTACTATCTGTTCAGCCTGGCCGTGTCTGATTTATTGCTGCTGATATCTGGCCTGCCGCCGGAGATGTACTACATATGGTCGCATTTCCCGTACGTGTTCGGTGAACCCTTTTGCATTATTCAAAGCTTCGCTGCCGAGACGTCCGCGAACGCCACTGTCCTCACCATCACCGCATTCACCGTTGAAAGGTTGGTAACCGTTTTACATCATACGGAATTCTTTACCTTGTTTTTTTTTCTTTCGTTCTGTACGGCTTGTTGAAATTAACATATGATTTATTGGATATTCATGGATTAAGGTTTTATGTATTTTTTGGTGGGAAATTTGTTAGGGTGGGGAGTTATGATAGAGGGAGACTTGTGGAAATTTGGAAGGATAGGTTTGGGATATTTTGTGATATTTGGGTATGTGGATTTTGAGAATTTGAATTGGGTAAATTTTTTATTTTAGCTTTTTTATTTTAACTTCGTATGTTCCAACTAGCTATATTCCAATTCCATATGTGCCAACTCCATATGTTACAAGTTTATATGTCTCAACTTCCTATGTCCCAAATCTCTACATTCTAGCTTCTTATGCCCCAACTCCACATGACCCAACTCCGCATGTCCTAAATCCACATGTCCTAACTCCCTACGTCCTAACTCCATATGTCCCAATTCCACATGACCAAACTCCACATGTCCCAACTCCATATATCCCAACTCCACATGTCCCAAATCCACATGTCCCAAATCCACATGTCCCAACTCTCTACGTCCTAACTCCATATGTCAAAATTCCACATGTCCCAACTCCCTACGTCCTAACTCCATATGTCCCAATTCCATATGTCCCAACTCCACATGTCCCAACTCCACATGTCCCAAATTCCCACATCCCAACTCCACATGTCCCAATTCCACATGTCCCAACTCCACATGTCCCAACTCCATATGTCCCATCTCCATATATCCCAACTCCACATGTCCCAACTCCACATGTCCCAACTCCCCATATCCCAAATCCCTAAATCCCAAATCCCTACGTTCTGAAATCCTATACCCTGAATTCCTACATCTCAATTCCCCAAATCCCAAATCCCTATATCCAAAATTTCAACATCCCAAATTCCTAAATTCCACATTCTCACGTTCCAAATTCCACCACCTCAAATTCACAAACCCCCAATTTCCAAATCCACCAATCCTAAAAATCCTCCACCTTCCAAAACCTCTTCCTTCTTACATTATCCCCAACTTTTCGTCCGGGTATTTCAAGTGTTTCGCCCCGAAGGTTATCGACTAAAAGGAAGAATTCCAACACGCTGAATACAATTACCTTGACTCACTTTCACTTTTAAGGGTTCCATTCGGACAAAAGAGGAAGTGTATATTACGTTCGGTCCTTTTTATGGTAGCCCAGTCAGCCCTTAACGGTTACGTAACAAGCATTTCAGCCGCCAATCGAGGGTGAAATTGTTCCCCGTGGGCTCGACCGTTGGATTTCGTGATTCTGGAACTGTTATGATCCCATAGTCCCTTCGGGCAATAATTATAAGCAGCCAGGAATGTTGCACGTTTACGTGATAAAAATTGATCGATCTTCTTCTTTTCCTTTTCCTAACTTTCCGAATAAACTTTCTTCCATTAATACACGACCCTCTGGGCTTCCGAATTATTTCTCGCTGGGGATGTTTTTGTTTTGTGCAAATGAAGGAAATATTGATTATTCTAATAATTATGAATAACTTAAATATTTAGTGATTTGGAAATTGAGGTTATGTTAGGTTAGAGGTTTGGTAATTTAGGAAATTTATCAATGTAATAACTTAACAACATGCCACCTTACAATGTTTTCTAAAATTATTGTAATTATAAACCATGACAAACAAAAATAACATCAATGTTGCAATTAAAAACTTGCAAGTTTGATAATTTCTAAATCGACACATCCCCTAAAATATCAAATCCCAAACTCGTCACACCGTTCCAAAATAACCCCCATGTATCATTCTAGATTAAGACAATTAATATAATACCTAAACGTCAACACTTGTCCAAATTCCCGCAACATTTTCAAATCTATTATTACACGACGCACCCACAAAGAATAGCAAAAATACTTTGAAAGCAGGGTGATTGACACTCAAACTTCATTAACGAAAATAAACGTGTCAAGACCCAGAGTTGACGACAAAAATAACCGTTATGTTTACTTTTCTCTAATTTTTGTCTTACAACATCTTCCATCGAATTACATTTATTTTTTCCCTTCATTCAAAATTACCCTCGTGTTCTTACTCGACAAATATTATCGCACGATAAATCGTTCTCTCCATATCTTGTACGCTTTCGAAACGTCTCGACAAGTATAGACCTAAACGTTTCCCATCTAAAAGCATCGGGCTTTCGGGGTGTACTGTTACATGTCATCCCTCCGTCAACGGGAGATTCCTGAAATTGACGGAAGCAACCCTTGCCACCGTTTTTGGAGCAAACAAAGACCTGCCTCTTTCGGGACTGTTATTCTCTTTTATTTCGACGGCCATATAAGGGGTGGAGGGTGGAAAGAAAATAGAGCTCTCTACCTTTGTTTCGTTCTAGACTGTGTTCCTCTGTGGCGATTAGGAGAAATATCGTGGCAAATGCCGACACGCAAACTTGAAGAGGATACTTCTTACTGATTTATGATTGACACTAAGGTGATTTATTAGGGCGATTGAGTGACGTTCAAGTGATTTATTATGGGGTTAATGGTTTCTTTAAGGTGTCGATGGGGCTTGGTTTGGATTACTAGGATTTTTAGAAGGTGTAACTGTTGTTTTAATGGGTTATTTTAGAGGGCTACTATTTCAATAGTTTGATAGTTTGCTAGTTTGCTAGGTTACTAGCTTGATAGGTTAGTAGTTTGCTAAGTTTACGATTTTGTTAGTTTTCGAGTTTGCTATTTTTCAAGTTTGCTACTTCACTACTTCGCTAATTTGGTGGTTTGCTACTTTGCTAGTTTGTTAATTTGCTAGTTTGCCACTTTGGTAGTTTGCAACCACGCTACGAATTACCACGAGTCGAATTACCACGCGTGGGATTACCACGCATCGAATTGCCAGGCATGGAATTACTACGCGTCGAATTACCAAGCGTAAAATTACTACGCGTGGAATTACCACGCATGGAATTACCACGCGTCAAATTACCACGCGTGGGATTGCTACGCATCGAATTGCCGCGCATGGAATTACTACGCGTCGAATTACCACGTATTGAATTACCACGCGTCGAATTACCACGCGTGGGATTACCACGCATCGAATTGCCACGCATGGAATTACCACGCGTAAAATTACTACGCGTGGAATTACCACGCATCGAACTACCACGCGTCGAATTACCACGCGTGGGAACACCACGCATCGAATTACCACGCATCGAACTACCACGCGTAGAATTACCACGCGTCGAATTACCACGCATCGAATTGCCACGCATGGAATTACTACGCGTCGAATTACCACGTATTGAATTACCACGCGTCGAATTACCACGCGTGGGATTACCACGCATCGAATTGCCACGCATGGAATTACTACGCGACAAATTACTACGCGTGGAATTACCACGCATCGAACTACCACGCGTGGAATTGGTACGTGTTGAATTACCACGCGTCGAATTACTACGCGTGGAATTGCTACGTGTGGAATTATCACGCGTCGAATTACCACGTTTCGAATTACCATGCGAGTTTGCCACTTTGGTAGTTTGATACTGTGCTAATTTATTAAATTGCTACTTTGCTACTTCGGTAGTTTGGTACTTTAGTAGTTTGCTACTTTGAAAAAGAATTTCCACGAATCTATCAGGAAGCTCAGATAAGAAATAAGGTAATAGAATACTATGCTAAAGGTTCTCTGATGTCGAGGCAAAATCAGTTTTACTTTCACAAAAGCTTCCCACGCCAACTGTTTCCATGAAAAGCTTTCTATTACAAGGAAGCTTCTTTTTTGTCCGGGAAAGCAGTGTCAACTTATCGTGCTGAAAACACTTTTCACAAAAGATACAAGAATTCCCCAACTCTCATTCCTCCAGATATCTAAATTTCCAAGCCTAAAAATCTATAAACCTCATATTATAAAATTTGCAAAATCAAATATTGCACAAATTGAAAATTAAAATCATAAATTTACAAACCAAAAATTCTCAAATTCTCAACTTTTCAAATTTTCATCTTCTCAAATTCCCAACTTCTCAAATTTCTATTTTCTTAAATTCCCAACTTCTCAAATTTCCATCTTCTCAAATTCCCAACTTCTCAAATTTCCATCTTATCTTCTCAAATTCCCAATTCCCCAACTCTCATTCCTCCAGATATCTAAATTTCCAAGCCTAAAAATCTATAAACCTCATATTATAAAATTTGCAAAATCAAATATTGCACAAATTGAAAATTAAAATCATAAATTTACAAACCAAAAATTCTCAAATTCTCAACTTCTCAAATTTCCATCTTCTCAAATTCCCAACTTCTCAAATTTCCATCCTCTCAAATTCCCAACTTCTCAAATTTCCATCCTCTCAAATTCCCAAATTCTCAAATTTCCATCTTCTCAAAACCCCAAACTCTCAAAGCCCCAAATTCTCAAATCCTCAAAATACAAAAACCTGAAGTTTCCAAACCTTCAAATCTTCAAACAAAAACCTCCCAACCAACATACCTCCTCTCCTCTCCCCTCCATTATATCACCATAAACTCCCACTAATTTAAAAATTACAAGATTAATCAAAAAGTAATTACTGTCAAAATTCCAGGTACGTCGCCATCTGTCATCCGTTCATCTCTCACACGATGTCGAAGCTGTCTCGAGCGGTAAAATTCGTGATAGCGATCTGGTTAACGGCGCTCTTTCTGGCGGTACCGCAGGCCATTCAATTTGGGGTCACTTACGACCATAGTAAAAACGGGTCTGCGATTATGGACAGTGCTAGATGCTCGATAAAGTGGGTACTGATTGCTCACGCCTTTGAAATATCGACTATATTATTCTTCGCTGTACCAATGACGATCATCACCGTTCTCTACATACTGATCGCGATCAAGCTGAGGAGGTCGAGACTGTTGACGGCCAGCACCGTCAAGAGGAACCATTTGCCGGCTGGTTTGAATCACTGCGAAAGCGGGAGGGCAAAGGGTTCTGCTCAGAGAAATGTCATTCGCATGTTGAGTGAGTACATTTCATCTTTGTTCTATATTTATGAGATTTTTTATTTCAGGATCTTTAGTCGAATTTTGGGTTTTTGATTTTAGGAGCTTTAGTCGGATGCTGGGTTTTTTATTTTAGGGTATTTAGTTGAATTTTATGTCTTTTATTTTAGGGTGTTGTGAGTTTCCTTTTTAAGCTATTACATTCTTGTATTTGCAATTTTCTGTAGTTCTAAATTGTAAAATTTACAAATTTCTGTAATTTCGAGTTCTTGCGCTCCAAATTCTCGAATTTAGGAATCTGTAAATTTTCAAATTTCTACGCTTACTAAGACCGAAACCCAAATTTCTCAAATTCTCAAATTCCCAGATCCCTAAATTCTCAAATCCTCAAATTCTCAAATTCTCAAATTCTCAAATTCTCAAATTTGCAAATTTCGAAATTCCCAAATTCTCAAATTTGCAAA